ACCCCCCCAATCACTCGTGATATCCCCCGTGATCAATAACCCCCCCAATCACTCGTGATCATAACCCCCCAATCACTCGCTCGTGATCAATAACCCCCCCAATCACTCGCTCGTGATCAATAACCCCCCCAATCACTCGCTCGTGATCATAACCCCCCAATCACTCGCTCGTGATCAATAACCCCCCCAATCACTCGCTCGTGATCAATAACCCCCCCAATCACTCGCTCGTGATCAATAACCCCCCCAATCACTCGCTCGTGATCAATAACCCCCCCAATCACTCGCTCGTGATCAATAACCCCCCCAATCCTCGCTCGTGATCAATAACCCCCCAATCACTCGTGATCAATAACCCCCCCAATCACTCGCTCGTGATAACCCCCCAATCACTCGTCGTGATCAATAACCCCCCAATCACTCGCTCGTGATCACCCCCTCACTCGTGATCAATAACCCCCCAATCACTCGTGATCAATAACCCCCCAATCACTCGTGATCAATAACCCCCCCAATCACTCGATCGTAACCCCCCCAATCACCTCGTGATCAATAACCCCCCAATCACTCGCTCGTGATCAATAACCCCCCAATCACTCGCTCGTGATCAATAACCCCCCCAATCACTCCTCGTGATCAATAACCCCCCAATCACTCGCTCGTGATCAATAACCCCCCAATCACTCCTCGTGATCAATAACCCCCCCAATCACTCGTCTCGTGATCAATAACCCCCCCAATCACTCGCTCGTGATCAATAACCCCCCAATCACTCCCTCGTGATCAATAACCCCCCCAATCACTCGCTCGTGATCAATAACCCCCCCAATCACTCGCTCGTGATCAATAACCCCCCAATCACTCGCTCGTGATCAATAACCCCCCAATCACTCGCTCGTGATCAATAACCCCCCAATCACTCGCTCGTGATCAATAACCCCCCCAATCACTCGCTCGTGATCAATAACCCCCCAATCACTCTCGTGATCAATAACCCCCCCAATCACTCGCTCGTGATCAATAACCCCCCCAATCACTCGCTCGTGATCAATAACCCCCCCAATCACTCGTGATCAATAACCCCCCAATCACTCGTGATCAATAACCCCCCAATCACTCGTGATCAATAACCCCCCAATCACTCGTGATCATAACCCCCCAATCACTCGTGATCAATAACCCCCCCAATCACTCGCTCGTGATCAATAACCCCCCCAATCACTCGCTCGTGATCAATAACCCCCCCAATCACTCGCTCGTGATCAATAACCCCCCAATCACTCGCTCGTGATCAATAACCCCCCCAATCACTCGCTCGTGATCAATAACCCCCCCAATCACTCGCTCGTGATCAATAACCCCCCCAATCACTCGCTCGTGATCAATAACCCCCCAATCACTCGCTCGTGATCAATAACCCCCCAATCACTCGCTCGTGATCAATAACCCCCCCAATCACTCGTGATCAATAACCCCCCCAATCACTCGTGATCATAACCCCCCTCACTCGTGATCAATAACCCCCCAATCACTCGTGATCAATAACCCCCCCAATCACTCGCTCGTGATCAATAACCCCCCCAATCACTCGCTCGTGATCAATAACCCCCCCAATCACTCGCTCGTGATCAATAACCCCCCAATCACTCGCTCGTGATCAATAACCCCCCCAATCACTCCTCGTGATCAATAACCCCCCCAATCACTCGCTCGTGATCAATAACCCCCCAATCACTCGCTCGTGATCAATAACCCCCCCATCTCTCGTGATCAATAACCCCCCCACACTCGCTCGTGATCAACCCCCCCAATCACTCGCTCGTGATCAATAACCCCCCAATCACTCGTGATCAATAACCCCCCAATCACTCGCTCG